TCCCCCGCAGGAGACATCTGCCTCTTGCTGTCACGAATCCATTTCTCTTCTCCTGGCCATCAGAATCCCACTTCAAAAATATTAAAAGAATACTAACATTATCCACACACACTCCTACCACCTTTAAAAAGATTTTTCCCCATGACCCCTGGAAACTCTTAAGAATTATTAAAGAGAGGGAGGGAGAGAGACACACACACACAGAGAGAGAGGGGGGCCCACCAGAGGCTGGGAAGCTCTGCTTTGTCAGGGAGAAGAAAATAAAGAGAAATCAGCCTGGCTTCAAAGGGCGCATTTCCATAATTGCCCTGTAACTTTGGCAAAATAAATCTGAGTGGCTGAGAGAAGCGCAATCTGCCAGATGAGTGCTCTCCAAAGGCCCCAGGGCTGTGGGCCCACTTGTTAGCCGCCTAGCAGTGAGAGAATGTGGGGCTCCCCGCCCGCACAAAGCCAGGACGTCACAGCCGGCCCAGCCAGGCCAGCCCCCAGTCAGCCCTAACCTGCCTTTGCCTCCCTCCTGCTGCCTGATAGGCACCCCCCTCTCCCCTAGGTAAAATAAGCAAGTAAATAAATAGTGCCGTTTATGTGCAGAGAGGACATAGCAGCCTCTGAGGGGTGGCATCTGTTAGGAGGAGAAAAACCACAGGACTTAAGCTTTCATCTGTAAGAAGCTTCCTGACATCAATAACCAAGGGAGAAAGGTCCCAGCTTTGCAGACGGACAGACGGACGTCCTTCTGCGGGCTGACTCCCTCCCTTTCACTGCTGACCAGAGAAGGTTCCAGGTCCACCCACCAGATTGAGATTCACTTTTACTTTTTCCCAGGCTCCTAGTTTCCTGTTTGCTGTGCCCCCACCCCCAACCCCCCACCACTACCCCCGCCCCCCGCCCATACCAGGGCCAAAAGTTTTTAGAGAACCAAACCATTCTATTTAGTTTTAGTGTTTCTCTCAATACAGCTGCGGTTTCTGGGGAGAATATACTTGTCGTGTCGGCCCCAGATACCTCTCCCCCCTCAACTCTCTGTGCTTCCAGCACCATTGACAGTTTGGACCAGGTAATTCTGTATTTCAAGTACCAACTAGGCCTGAATGGCTTAGGAGAATGGGTGCATCCAGGGTGCTGATTCACTGTGTTGGAGGATTGTCTTGCACCTTATAGGGCCTTTAGCAGCATCTCTGGCCTCTGCTCCTGAGATTCCACTAGCAACCCCATCCTCGTCACCTCAGACATTGTCAACTGCCGCCAGGGTGGGAGAGGAGACAAAATTGCCTGGTTAAGGAAACTGTTCTGCTCATAATGCCTCTTCCAGCTGTGTCCTGCCTCAGCAGGGATGTGTTTATGGAGATTTTCCATCCACAGTGGAGGTGGCCTATAGAAAGACTGGGGCCTCTTCAGAGAGGAACAGCAGCTACATCAAAGCCAGGCTGGTCACACAAAGGTGGACATTTTTAATGTGGTCGGGTTGGCTGGCTGAGTCAGGTGACAGTGGCCAGTTAGGATCAGGAGGCAGTATCCAGTGAACAAATGGGACCCCCTTACCCCATATTTATCTTTGGAGTCATTCTTCTTTTCTTTATGCCTAATTCTGGAGAGGGTTGAGTTGTCTAATCCAACCCTCCATTTTAATTCTCTGTTGGGGTTGAGTTGTCTAATCCAACCCTCCATTTTTCCAAATGTTTACAGCGGGGCCTAGAGCAGGCGATTTAGGACCCCCTTTGAAGGGTTAGCTCCAAACACAGACACAATTTTTACATAGCTGCAATGGCCCATTTTGACTGGATAGGGGTGAGCGAGTATATGCAAAAAGAAACTCTAGGACAGACAGGCTATTTCTAGAAGGATAAAAAAGCAAGGTCTTGGAAGAAACTCCCAATGAACCCAAACCAGAAGATATCTGACATCCAGTTTCTACTCAAGCATCCAATTGCTCTGGCTAACTCTGCAAACCCAGGCAGGCCTTGGAGAGTGGAGTCTCTGGGCCTGCCTGCCCTCTAGGGGCCCAGAGAAAACCATCCTAATACTCAGCGCCCTGTCCTCTTCTCACACCTGGGACGGGTGACTTGTCAAGACTCTAGCACCCCTTCCTTTCTTATCTCTTTTTGGTTGGACTTTGCTTTTTCCTCCCTATATTCCCCTGAAAAGAAATTCAATTGAAAACCATTAACATCTGGTCCCAGAGGTGGACGATCACTTAGGGAGATAATTTTATTCTCTGGCTTCCTGCCCTTGTGATGCAATCCTCCCCACCACCCCCACCCAGCTCCATGCAAATAATGAGGGAAGCCCTGCCACACATTCCTTCCTCTGACCTAATTGATTATCCCACACACCTTGGAGTGCTTTGCATAACCAACCCCGACAGCAGAAACCCCTTCCTGGCAGGTGATTGACATATTTTATTTCTAATTGAAGCTTAATCAGACCAGGGATGATATACCCATATTCTCTCTCTCTGTCTCTCTCTGTCCCTCTCCCTCCTTCCCTCCAACAATAAGGGATGGAGGCAGTTGTTCCTGGGATCCTGGGAGGAGGGAATGAGGTGGGCTGAGGGAGAGGTCTGGGGAAGGAAAGAAATGAGAGCTGGCTCTCGGTGAAATACAAGGGCTGCAAAGGGGAGCCGTCTCCTCTTCTTTGTCTTGTTGGAAACTACGATAATCTGTTCTGATTAGTTTATCTTATTGGGGTCGGTTTGCGGCCACTTGAAGGGCCCAAGTGTTCTATGGGCTAAGGGAAGCACACACACACATCACGGGGACTCCTCCAGGTGTATGCCCACTCTCCCCCACACATGTGCATTTACTGCTTTTACAGTGTGGATAAAATTGGTTTCATCCTAGGACCATTGTCCCTGCAACGTGATGATCGGACAAGTTGACCAAACTCCAGGGTCTTCACTAGAGCAAGCCCCAGGGACCTATCACCAGATCTTGTCAAGCTCTGTCCAGCCTCTCCATGCTCACCTTCCTTGGAACATACCCAGTTTTCCTTCCTTGGATATTCAAAATGGAGAAGCTGCCTGGCTTCTGTCATAGCCTCTCTTCCTGCCCCGATGGGCCCCTGCCTGGGGAAGTGTCCTTTATCCCTGGGTGGAGCTGAGCTTGCCAGTAGGAAGACACTTCCGTGACCAATGGGTGGGGTGGGCAGAACATTGCAGGTGTCTGAGGAGTGGAGTCTCAGATTCTGGAAGATTCTGGAACTACCCACCTAGCACCCATCAGCACTGGACACTTCCTCTCTCAGCTTCACTATTACTACCCTGCTGGGTAGCCTGACTCCCATTTTGCAGATGAGGATATAAGGGCTGGAGGAGTTCAATTATCTGCCCAGGGGTTCACAGGAGATAAACGGGGGAAGGGGGCACAGTGTGTGCCAATCAAGTGTGTCAGGTTGGAGCTGAGGTTTGCAAGGTGTGGGCCTTATAAAGGCTGTCATTGTAGTTACTAGGGGCTGCAGCCCTGGTCCTGGGGTCCCAAGCTCAGGTTCAAAGCCCTGGCAAGTTGAAGTTTGCCCACTTCCAGCTTAGCGGGTTTTATATCTGGGGGTTCTATGGCCAGTCTGGGCCTGTGATCTGGAAATATGCCCAACTATGGGGGGCGTCTCCTGCCTCTGAGGAAAGGTTGAAGGAGCTAGTCCCCGATGCAGGACATCTTTGCCAGGGTCAAAACCCTGTGTGCGGCTGGCACTACCCTAACACTCCCTCCCCCTTGCCCCTGGGGCGCTGCTGCACCCCAAATGTCCCATCCTGGGTGCAGGTGTCCAGCTCAAACACCTGTGCCCGCATGGACCGATCCGTGCCGGACTGCCCCAGTTCCCGCAGAGCTTCAATGGTGGATGACATTGCTCTGTGCCTTATTCGGTGGCTTTGGGAGTACGAGGTCTTCCTAAGCTTCCTCGGGAATCCAAAAGATGGTCCCATGCCCGCCTGGCTCTGTGCTCTGCGGGTCTTGCTCCTCGCATCTGGCCAGCCTATTTACTAACATCAGTAGAGGAGTGTAAAAACAAGCTGTCTCTACTTCGGACCGGGAGGCGTCCCTCTCTCGAGCGTTCCCCACATCTTCAAGTCAAAAGTGATCAAGATTGGCTGGCAAACTGAAAGAGGGAAAATAGGGCGCGGAGGGGGCGCGACGCCTGGCCTGGCTGCAGAGGCGAGGCCAGGGAAGCCAGACGCAGAGCGTCCCTTTTGTCCTGTAGAGGGAGCTCCAGCCCCAAATTTCCTGGCTCCCACCCCCAACCCGCCTCCAGCCGGAATCCTGGCTGGAAAGGTGCAACAGCCCGACCCCCTAACTCCGCTCCGGGACCCCAGAAAGTTGCCCCTTCCTGGGCATTTTGGGGTAATCTCACTGGAGCGTCTAGACGCACAGACATCGCCACGGTCCTCCAACTCTCAACTGGATCGAAGTCACCCGTCCCTCAGAAGGAAGGTTGGGTACCCCTGGCCCCTTGCACTCCATATCCCCCCCACACGGCCAATCCACAACTTTGCATTTATCAGGAGGCGTCTGAAGGGTGCAGGGCGGCTGGAAAGAGGCCTTGAAGCGGAGCTAGCACAACCTTTGTATGTAAGACTGAGAAAACCTCGATTGTGCCTGTCCAAGAATGGGAACAGGGGGTGACCAGAACCGCCCAGCCTAAGTCCTCCGCGTCCAGACGCTTAGTTTTTCTTCTAAGTCACCAGAGAAGGCTCCAAGGCCCCGCGGTTGCTCCGTGGACCGGTTGTTGGACCCAGTGTTCCAGCTTCTGGTAGGAATACTTGCCCAGTTTCCCACCTGTCTCCTCCGCCCTTGATCTAGGGCGCTCCAGGTACTTCTCCCACCGCTTCCCCGCCTGCGGCGCACCCCGAGTCCAGCCTCTTTGGCGCCTCCTTCGCCATTGCTGTTCTCTAACCACCTCCCTTCCCCTTTCCCGCTGATTCGGAAGATTCTCCAAACAACTGGGGGGGGATCCCCCCAAACCCGAAAGAACCACCAAACAGATCTATCCGGAGGCAGGCGGGCCGGTATAGTCAAAGTGGCAACAGCTCATTTATTTAGCCAAAAATAGATACTTTCTTGTACAATTTGGTTCACACATATGTACATTTTTCTGTATATACAAAACAGTCAGACACGCTTATTCTCACTGAAACTCCACCCCCCTCCCCAAATCAATCGAACAAACCAACCTGACAATGGCAGTTAATGTGGGGTGGCACAGAATCGACTTGGGGAGGGATGAGGGGGACTGATTTTATTTCTTTTTCTTTCTTTTTTTTTTGTTTAGTTTTCTTTTTAGGTATTCATACACGGACATGCTTACAAGTTGTAACTATACAGAGCGATTTGTTGTTGTTGTTGTTTTTACAATTATTACAACGATTTAAAAAGTATTTAAAAAAAAAAAAAGAAAAAAACTAGGATGAGGAGAGAGCCGATAAGACCAGAGCCGCATCCAGGTGGTTCTGGGGCCTGGAAGAGAGTTGGTGGGAGCAAAGGAGGTGAGATACAGGGACTCGGAGGTCGCCTAGGGCGGACACACCCTACCTGGGGCTGGGGCCTGGGCCGGGGAGGTGTCTTAATGCCGTAATCCTGTTCAGCGGAGATGTGTGTGTGGGGGTTAGACAGGCCAAAGGCGCTAGACCCGAAGGTCAGGAAGGAGTGGGCCTCACTGGGAGGCCGCTAGTTCTAAGGGCCTGTTTGCCCGGCCAGTTTAGGGTTCCCAGCTCTAAATCCGCAGGCCGCACCCGGGGCCCTGGACTGGAACTGGCAGCGGTTTCTGCGCCCGTGAGAAGTGATAGTGGAGTGCATTTTGTTCCCTTTTAAAAAACTTCTCGGCCAGGTTCCCCCTGGGGCAATAAACTGTGCTTAAGGCTCGGCCTTCTTCCTCCCCACCCCACCGAGCTCGGGGTCTCTTACCGCCTGGGCACGGGCTGGAAAGCTGTCTTGAGTAACTTTTTCTCCACTTCCAAGGCACTACAGCGATCTGAGAGAAGCGAAGGGAGGGAAAAAGAGGCTTTTAGAACGCTCGGTCCAGGCGCCAGAGCGTGGGAGCCGGACGCGGAGCGGAAAGAAAAGCACCTGGCGCCCCCCAGCCCTGTCCATCCCCGGATCGGGTCTCCCAGAACCCCCTCCCTCTGAGCCCAGCGCTCGGCAGTCACCTGTTCCGCCCTCGGGCTCCGTGGGTCTAGCGTAGGCGGTGGCGGCAGCCGGGTGACCAGCGGCTCCGGGAAGTCCCAGCAGGTGCTGAGGGGCCGAACCGAGCAGGGAGAGAGGGTGCGGGCGAGGGCCGGGCGGCGGGCCTGGGAACGGCCGGTTGGTCCAAGCCGGGAATTTGCCCAGTGGCGCCGAGACCAGTCTGTGAGCCGCGGCGGCGGCGGCGGCGGCTGCTGCGGGAGAAAGCTGTAGAGCCGGGGGTGCGACCGCTGCCCCAGGAGGAGAACATCCTGTGCCAGGGGGCGAGCGGCGTGGGTTGTCCGGGCTCGTGGCCGTCTCGGCCAGGGACCAGATTTTGGGCTTCTGCAGGGCCGAGGAGGGAGCGGGTGCTGGTGCGCAGGGGTCTAGGCCGGTGGGAGGCGAGGGCGGAGAGGGCGGAGTCCCGGTCACTGGCGGTGGCGCTGGGGCCAGACTCAGGACTGGCAGCGGCCGCTCCTCCAAGCCCTCGGTGCTGTCTTCCGAGTCGCTATTTTTGGAGTCCGAAATGGGTCCCAGGCCTAGGTCACCGTCCCTGCGCGCTGTCCCCGTCAAGGCCAGCTCAGGCCCGGCAGCCGTGCCGTCTAAGTTCTCCAAATCGATCTCCTCGTCTTCGTCGTCGTCTGCCAGGCCCTCGCCCCCCGTGTCCTCCTCCTCCCCCACGAGCTCCTCCTCCTCCAGCTCCAGCTCGCGCTTGCCATCTTCCTCGTCCTCCTCCTCGTCTTCCTCCTCCCTCTCGCTCCCGTAAGCGTTGCCCTCTTCATCCGTGCGACTGCGGGGCGCCCAAGTCATCTTGTTCTCCTTCTTGAGACGCCGGCGTGCATTGGCGAACCAGGTGGACACCTGGGTGAGGGTCATCTTGGTGATGATGGCCAGCATGATCTTCTCGCCCTTGGTGGGGTAGGGGTTCTTGCGGTGCTCGTTGAGCCAGGCCTTGAGCGTGCTGGTGCTCTCTCGGGTGGCGTTCTTGGGACGGGACGGGTCCCCAAACTGGTACTGGCCATACGGGTAGAAAGCGGGGTGCGGGTGCGGAAACGCTGCGGCCGCGGCCGGATGCTGCACCCCAGGGCTGTCCTTCAGCTCATACTGAGCGCCCTGTACGCACATGGAAAAGGAAGGGGACACGCGCGGAGGGAGCGCGGGTGAGCTCCAACAGTCGCCGCCTCCACCCTCCTGGCCCGGACCCTAGTAGTCTACTCCCGCGCGCTCACCTCGCCCGGCGCCCTAGCTCCAACCCTCTTTCCCGGGTTCCTCCAGCTCTTACCAGCTGCGGGAAGATGGGCAGCTCCGCGGCGTAGGGCAGGAAGGCGCCGTAGCCTTGGGCGGCGGCGGCGGCGGCAGCGGCCGC